TACCCCCCTGTCCCCGGGGGAACCGCCTAGCCCTGCAACCTGAAACCTCAACAGCCCCGGTCCAGGCAGCTCTGGGACCCACTCACCCAGCCACCGCCTCAATGAAACATGGGAATGTCTTCTAAACCGGACCAAAATGTGTGTAACAGTGTTTGCCAAACGCTGGGGCACGCAAGAACCGATCGGATCGTGTTAAAAGGGCAGAGGAGCAAAGAAATGACAACAAAACCCACGCGGGGCATACCAAGCAGGCAAAGGGGGAAATAAAGGAGCCAGCACTAAACGTGCTAAGAGAAGGAGCTCTGTGGGATTCCCTCGGAAAGTGTACACGGAGCTCAGCCGATACGTTTCTATCCGTGCACAGCCCTGGCTGTGAATGCCCAGAAGGCTCCAGGGCCAGGCCTGCTTGGTTCTCCTCCCCACGGGAACGTCGGTCCCAGCGATGCCGCCCACACCTGCAGCCCATCCCTTCCCTGTGTCCCCAGTACCTGCAGGAAGTTACCGTGCCCTGTCCCAGCCCCTGCCCCGGCCCCAGCCAGGGGTTCATCATACCTAGCTGCTCCTTAAGGTCCTGTATGTCTCTCTCCAGAGCGGCACACTAGCCCAGCGGACGCCGGAGGAAGAGAAATCATCAGTATATTCTGGCCTCCTCTCTCCTCGTCCCCCCTCTCGCCCGTGGCCCTTCCATTCCCCACGGCCCACCGCCCAGTGGCCACAGCGGCAAAGAAATCCTCAGTGGAAAGGAGGCACCCTCTCTGTGGGGTGCGGGATCGGGGGGGTAGGACCGAACGACACAGAAGGCAGTTTAACCTGGATATGGTTCCCACCATCTACTTAGGACCTGGCCTTCGAGGAGCCAGACCAGCCATTACCAGAGGACAGCCCTGTGTTCCCGGTGGTTGCTGCTGCCTTTCCGCTCTTGGGGCATGGACAGGTGGCTCCTGGTCACCTGAAAGACAACACAGAATCCAGCTTCCAAGCCTCACAGCCTGGAGCTGGAAAGGGCCTGCTGGGGTCTAAAGGGAGGCAGCATCACCCTCTGCTGGCAGCAGGTGTCTCCTGCTCGGCCCCGCAGCTGCAACCTTCTCTCTGGGCCTGCCTTCCCTGCTCCTGTTCCCCAGTGTCAGCCCATCTGCGCCTGTGGCCCCCTAGGATTGTGGCCCTGGGTTGGACGCTAGCACAGCTGCAGCCACAGCCAGCCCCTGGGAGGAGCAATGGGGTCGAACAGGACTTAACTTAAAAGGCTCTGCTCTGCCGAGAGGCTACTTCTGGAGTCAGAGTTTGGGGTGTGGCTACAAATCACGCCTACCCCACAAATCCCACCCCAGCCCTGTCGACACCCCGTTTCCTGTGGGAGAGCTGCCTGGGTAGGCAGGGAAGCCGGGGAGCAAGGCTGAGCCCCCAGAAGTGACAGAGTCAGAGGTTCCCCTCCTCCGCCCGTGCCCTCCACTCCTACCAAAGCCACAAGACTCACTGGAGGGTGCAGGGCCTCTGGTCGTGGCGCCTCCTTGGCGCAAGGCCGAGGCCTGTGAGTTTCTTGGAACCTGCGGGGCCCTCGTGTTCTGGTCACCACTGCTGAATTCTCCAGGATGCATGTGCTGGCAAGGTGGCCCTGGCCTGGGCGTCTGAAGCTAAAAGAAAATCTCTCAGAGCTGGGTCAGGGCGTGTGAGTGT